CGTGGCAGAAATTCCTACTCGGCGGGCAGGGTGGGGGAGGTGCTGCGGAGTGGCGGGGGGCGTCCCAAGGGGGTGGAGAGGGTCCGGCCCACCCTGCACCTGGGCTGGGATTGGTCCCACCAGTGCAGGGTAGCAGGAAGTTCTCCCACACACACAGGGGACCTTGGCCAGGACTGGGTCTGGGGGTTCCCGGAACGCGGCAGAAATTCCTACTTGGCGGGTGGGATGAGGGAGGTCTCCTGACACGTGTTTCTTTGCATACCTGGGGCTTAGGCCCAGTTCTTAGTAAAATCACAAGGGCGTTCTGATTCCTGGTGATGAGTCTTTGCTGGGAAGTAGTTTTCATACAGTAAGCATTTACATCTGCTGGTGAATCTAGGTCTCTTGGGGCTTTGTGAGGGGTCTTGTAACTTTCAGCAGTGAATTCCTTTCCCTAGATTTCTTTAACAAAGTATCCCAAACTAAGTGGCGCAAGCAACAGACATTTACTACCTGGCAGTTCTGGAAGCTAAAATCCTGGGATTCAAGCAAAAGCAGAGTCCATTCCTACCACAGGCTGTGAGAAGGACTGTCCACTCCTGTGCCCATCCTTCGGTGACATCCTGGCAAACCCGGGCATGCCTTGGCTTGCGCAAGCATTGCACTGATCTCCACTTTTACCTTTGTGGGATGTTCTCTGCGTGTCCTTGTGCCAGGACTTCTCCTGTGGATAAGGACACCAGTTGTCATGGCTGAGGCCACCCTAATGACTTCATCTTCACTCACTCCATCTCCAACAGCACCATTTCCAAGTAAGGCTGCATTCTGAGGCTCTGGGAATTAGGACACCAGTGAAGTGCTCCAACTCAACCCATACCAACAACCTGTCTGGTTATATAGTCAGGCTTCATTTCTCTGTGCTGCTTTTCACAATTATTTGCTGCCCCTCCCTGCTGGATGGTTATTACATATGCCTGTCCCATGGCTTGGCTTCGAAATCGCTTTCACCAGTACATTATGAGTAGAAATGATTTGGGTATATCCAAGCAGAAACCTTTCTCTTTTAATTTAGGCTGCATTCCAGACCTCGAGTATCGTCCGTCTGTGTCTCAGCCTGGCAGTGGTACAAACAGGGCAGAGCCTGCCTTTGGTGGCTTTGAATAGGCCGTTCTGATTTGAGGCTGTTAGGATTTTGATGTCATGGTTTGGGCAGCATAAAGTAAGACAAGTTGCCTGACACGAGTAGCAGATTTAAATTGGATGGTAGCAGAACTTCCCTCTGAATAGATTTTTTAAATTCATTCATCAGCTAGTCATTGGAAGCTCACTGTGTGCTAGGCATGGAACAGTTGTGCATTGACAAGGTGCTTGGTTGATGACACATACTTGATACTTAGTCACATACCAGTCTAGGAGTTGCAGTGAGAGTGCTGTCAGAGATTGTAGGCGGCAGGTGAGCTCCACGGTGGCCGAGCCCCGGGGCCAGGGTGATGGGGACCATGAGATTGGGTTGAATAGAAAATACACATTCTCAGCTGAGAGTGTTTTCTCGCTGAGATTAATATGTTTTAATGTATTTAGTACAGGGTCTCATTACGTAGATCAGACTCCTCGTGATACTCCTGTTTTCAGCCTCCCTAGAGCTAGGATTACATGAGCGCAATCCACCATGCCCAGTCTCAATCAGCGCCTCAGCATGCCCCGCGGGCAGGGCCGGCACAGCGCGTGAGGGATTGAACCCCGGCCTGTGCGCTCTGCCTAAGCAGGCACTGTAGGCTGCTGAGCTATCTGACTGGCCCAGCTGAGATTAAGATTTAACCAGTAGACTATCTCCCGTAATGTGGATGGACCTCGGGGTGGGGAGGGGCTCTGCCTCCCCCACCCCCTCCCCAAGTAAAGAGGGTTCTCCCTTAGACTCAGACTACAAGTCTTTCCTGAGCCTCTAGGCCATGACCTGCTCTACAAAGTTCATACTTTCCAACCCCTACAATTTTATTGTTCTTGTTGTTGATACAGCATCTCACTACGCAGTCCAAAGTCCTAGTGATCCTCCTGTCTCAGCCGCCTCGGCGCTGGGATCGCAGGCGTGCACCACCACGCCCAGTTTCTGTACCCGCACGGCGCACGCGGGGTTCCAGGGCCTGTACAACACGCGGTACCAGAGATGGAACCCAGGTCCTTGCACTTAGCAGGCAGGCGCTTCGACCGCAAGCTATCTCCCCAGCCCAGGCCCTGCAATTGCATGAGCCAATTCCTTAAAATAAATTTCTTACTCATCCCATCGACTCTCTTCCTCTGGAGAACCCTCCTAGCCACACACATCAGTAAAAGCAGTTATTTTCACATTCCCAGGGCAAATAGAAATAAACAGAAGCTTCCGCTATATATGAAACTTTAGAAAGTGCTGTGTCTAATGAGACCACATAGGAGAACCTTGATCTGCGGAGTCAGAGATTGTAGGAAATGACATCTAACTCGAAAACTGATGGTGGCAGGTGAGCTCCACGTTAGCCAAGCCCAGGGCCAGGGTGATGGGGACCAGGAGATTGGATTGAATAGAAAATACACCTCAGCTGGCTGTGTCGGCTCATGCCTGTAATCCCAGCACTCTGGAGGCTGAGGCAGCTGTCCCGAACCAGCGGGTCAGTCAACGAAGGTCACCTGGGGGAGGAGCGGGGAATTGAAGAGGGGACAAAGGACAGGAGACGCGAGAAACAGAGGCAAGACAAAGGTTCTGATCAAGCCTCGTTTATTTAGGGGAGGTTCTGGGTATATATAGGGGGTGATGGAATGAGGAAGTGTCGGCTCTTGGGGTCAGCAGGTATCTAGGCAACGGGGAGGGTGCAACCCCTAGGGCATAGCACGTGATTCCCAGGGAATGGGCAAGATGAGAAGGGCCATAAACTTGACTCAGCAGAGGAATAGAATGGATACCCGTTAATGGCCTCCAACAGGCAGCAGGATCACCACAAGTTCGAGACCAGCCTAGGCTACATAGAGTGTTCAAGGCCAACCTGAACAACATAGGGAAACCCCATCTCAAAAGAAAACACCCTACTGAGGCGTTATCACACCCAAGGAAGAGAAAATGGGTACTTGGTAGGCAAAATAAAATAATAGCCATTACAATGTTTTATGACCCTTGGGAGTGCAAATCTATCTGACAAGCTCACGTTCCTTACTGTTCCCTTGACAGTTGGGAAAGTGCGAAGATGCCCCGTATGAGAGCAGTGATGCAAATGAGGCTGGGGAATGCGCAGAGCTGCGCTATTTGGGCAGAGGAAAAATCCATACAGAACTGAGAGGCAGTGAAGACTGAAAAAGTGGAATAGTTGAGGCAAGGCATTGGGGTGGAAGGCAAGCAGGGGCAGCAGAAACAGAAGAGGCTGCTCTGGATGCAGATTTTAAAGAACATAAATCTCAAACTGCATTGACCTTAACTGTGTGAATGTCAAGTAAAACCTCCTCAGCCTAATTATCTCCCACGACAGCGTGCTGGCATTTTTGCGCCTGAGTCTCCACTTTGTGGTTGTGGTCCATAGTGTATAAATCATTACGCTCTCAGTATTGTTTCAGAGATAGCAAACAGCATTTATTAATATATCTTTTTTTCGCTGTCTTGCCCAGATTCTTGCGTTTATAATTGTTAGTCTCTGGAGTAGCTTTGTGTTCAGGTGGGACTTCCTGGCAATCCTCTGCTAGAAGACACTTTAGCCCCTGGAGAAGAAATATGTGATTTATTTCACTGGAGTTTCAAAGATGAAAAATAGGAAACTGAAAAGCCATTTTTTGTCTCATTATTGGGAATAGAATGAGAACAATGGTGATTTAATAACCATTATCATTATCTTCCTTCCAAATTAAATTAAAATTGCTTTAATATTCTATTATAAAATTCTTTGCAAAAATAATGTCAATCATTTTGTTATTTCCACCAGCTTGTTAATAATGAACTCAAAACTAATTCAGTGCTTTTGAGAGATAGGACGTAATTAATTTTGGAATCTAGAGAACTAAAATGTATGCTACATAATCATCATCGCCTCTAGTATTTTTCTACCACAACTTTAGCTTCCTTGGCATGAGTGGACCTGCTCTAAATTACTAACATGCTTTTCAGAGACAGTGCTCTGGTCATGTTATTAGAAAGTCTAGTTTTGTACGACAGCAGATGACAGTCGTTCTGTGTATGGGTTCTGCAGTCCAGCAGTGGACTCGATTCCAGGTACACCTGTTGGGTTTGAAGGTTGCTACTTTTATGAACTTGGGCTGATGTGAAAAGTCGTGTGGTCTGATTCCTCCCTGTGCCTCCCTTTTGTTCATGTGGCAGTGGCTTGTAACAGGGCTAATGTGTACATTAGGTAAGTAAGCTATGCGGAGCACGCGGCAAAGCGCCTGGTGTGTAATCACTCCTCAGTCATCTTGACCGCTATTACTTGGAACTGTTTAGTGAGTAGTTTTTAAATCACTTGCTGCCAGACATGGTGGTGCACACCTGTGATGCCAACACTCAGAGGCTGAGGCAGGAGGATCGCTGACAGGCCAAGGCCAGCCTGGACTACATGGTTCAAGGCCAACCTGAATTTGACGGCAAGACCCTGTCACAGATAGATAAATAAGTAAATAACAAAAGAAAAATAGACCATTTGTTGAGTGCTTTCTGTATACCATGCAAGAAACTTTCTTGTGGAACTCAGCATATTTTACTTGCTTGAGAGCACAGCTCAAGATATTTTTTAAACTGAGTCTTTAAAAATATTCCTATTCTCCTGTGTACACAGCTAGCATTTGAAATGATTACTTCTTTAAGCTGGGTGACAACATACACAGAAATCACTTCTTAGAAGAGCTGCTTAGAGCTGAGCTCTTCCTCAGATTTTTGTTTTGGCCACTAGGACTCAGCTCGGTGGTCTTCCTAGCTATGTGGTGAAGACAGGACAGGGAAGATGACTCAGGATTTACTGCCCTTTCAAATTTTAATTAAAGCATTTTTAAAAATATTTCAATATTTACATTTTTTTCAGAAAATGTCTTCAAAATTTAAAAATACGAAACGCATCGAGGGACTTGATAGCAATGTATGGTGAGTATCTTAACACATTAATACTTGGGGGGAAAATTTCCTCCATATTTCTCTTTCCTTAGTTGAGAAATTTTAGCCTCATCTAGAGTCCAAAAATAAAGATTTATCTCATTTATCCCTTAAATAAGGGAAAGGGTCTATACACTGGTTTATGCAGTTCCCCAGCATGCGATGCTCTGTGCTGCAATTGGACACGGAGCAAAGGAAAGATGCGCTTGGTTTGGAGCTCACCTGCTAATAACCAAGGAGCATCTCATTAGCTCTGCTGCTACACAGCTGACGACCAAATGGAGCAACAGATGGGAGATGGTTGGGGGGGGGAGTGTGGTTGCATTGTGGGTGTCATGTAACGAGATGTGTGAGTAGCCTTCATTCAGCCATGGTTTTACTAGGTAAATTCATTTCAAGGATGATAATTTTCTTTTTTTACAGGCTTTTTCTTTTTTTATATATTTAGGGAAGGGTCTACAGGGTTTTCAGGGTCTCACTACTAGATCAGACTCATAGTGATCCACCTGTTTACAGCCTCCCAAGAGCGGGGATTACAGGTGCATGCCACCACGCCCAGTCTAGGGATGATAATTTTCTTTTTCCTCAGTAATGGAAATTGAACCCAGGGCCTTTGCACTAAGCCTCATCCAGCCCTTTTTTATTTTGAGACAGGGTGTCGCCCAGTTGTCCATGTTGGGCTTGAACTCACAATGTCCCTGCCTCAGCACCTCCCACAGTGCTGGAAGTACAAGTGAGCCTTTTATAACTTTTTATTGGGAACTCTTAATCTGTAAGGCCAACATAAGTTTCTGTTTTCAACTTTGTAGTAAGACCATGTGATATAAAAAGTAAACTTTGTAAGTATAATACTTATCAATACTAATTTTCTTTTTGTTTTTTAATATTTGTTTGTTTTCCCTAATTTTAGGACTGAATTTACCAAGTTGGCTGCAGATCCCTCTGTGGTAAATCTTGGCCAGGGCCTTCCAGATATCTCTCCTCCAACATACGTAAAAGAAGCGTTATCAAAGATTGCATTTGTTGATAACCTGAATCAGTACACGCGGGGCTTTGTAAGTATATCGGGAGCATAAGGGGCACGAGCTTAAAAAGCTTATGCTGTGTCATGTATCTCCATAGCACTCAGGCAGCCCCAGCTCTGGCCCCCTGATGCCCTTGTCCCTCTTGTCTTCTGTCTCTCACCTCAGCTCGCTTCTCCATCCAGCTGTGATGAAATGCCTCTCTTTTAAACTGCGGAGTTGTGTCTGTTACGCCCAAAAGCCACACAGTTGTCACATAGCTCAGTGCTTGTCTTTCCCTTTGTGATAGCTTGGGAAATGGAAAGAAGGAAAGAGGGAGGCCTTTTTTTGGGTCATGGCACTGGAAATGAGAGAACCCAAAAAGCAGTGAGACTGAGCATAGCCCAGGGTCTAACGGGGTGAGAATCCCTGCTTCCTGTGGAATCTCACTCCTTGATCCACCTGCAGACCCCACCTGACGACTGGGAGGGCGGCTCATGGTACGTACCACACACGTCTAGAACATATGAGGTCCTGCGTTCAGTCCACAGCACCGCCTACAATCAAAGTCCGTGTCCAGACCCCATCTCACACCCACTCCCACACTGCCCTCCCAGCCACGTGTGCGTCCACGATAAAAACCCAGCAGTGAGCTAACAGTAACGAAAATAGAACCAGAATCTGGTTCATTGAAGTCAATCAATCAGTAAGACTTTAGCTAGATTTAGCAATAAAAAATGGAAGAAAGTACAGCATGAGAAATGGAAAAAGAAATTCATTATAGATCATACTGTCACTTAAATAGCCTTAACACTGTCATGAATAATTTTCTGTTAAGCATTTAAATAATAATACCAATTTATACACATTCATTCAGAAAATACAGCAGGATGAAAATATTGCCCTTTTTTTCTGAGAGAGTCTCACTGTGCAGTTCAGGCTGGCCTTGAGCTCACTTTGGAGCCCAGGCTGGTCTTGAATTCACAGCAATCCTGCCTCTCTGCCTCCTGAGTGCTGGGACTACAGGTGTGCACCACTATGCCAGTGCATTTACGGGGCCAGTATGACTCTGTTACGAAACAAGACCAAGAACAAGATGATCCAGTCCAATATTCCTCATGAATGTAAGAAAAATTTAAATTTTCATTAAATCAACTTCAGGCATGTGTCTGTACATGCATGTATATATGTATGTATGTTTGTGAATAGGAGGTAAAAAGCATGCTGACCAAGTGTGCTTTGTCACAGGAAGGCAGGCTTAATGTTCAAAAGTTAGTGATTGCAATTCAGTATATTAATGCAATAAAAAGAAAAATTACACAATCACCTTAGCATATGCAGAAAATACACTTTAAGAATTCACCTATCTTTTTTTTTTTTTTTTTTTTTTTTTTTTTTTGGTGGAACCGGGGATTGAACTCAGGCCCTTGCGCTTGCCAGGCAAACGCTTATTTTACTGAGCTATTTCCCCGGCCCCTCTGGCTGACTTTGAATTCATGAGGTAGCCCAGGCTGGGCCTCAGCTTCCGAGCGCTGGCATCACAGGTGTGAGCCACCGTGCCCGGTTCCCTCTCTTTTTTATTAGGACGTGTGTGCAGTACATAATGACCACATTCCCCACGAGAAGTTGGTGTGTAACGCATCTTAATTCCTGTTTCATCCCTCCCCTCCCTTCCACCCCTCTCCTCTCCCTCATGTCTCTTTATAATACAACCCTTCAGCTACTCAGGAATACTAGAGAATGGAACTTTGTCAATCAGTTAAAACAAATCTATGAGAAAACTACAGATAATATGGACAGAGTACATAATACAAAAAATTGGGTGTCTGTCATCTTAGTCTTCTAACTGTGTACCGTTTCTAATGTCATATCAATTATTCTCTATATATGCTTTAAGAAAAAAAGGTTAAAAAGAGTCTAGAATAAAATCTTAAGGCTTCTTCAAAGTAAACTAATATGCAATCGTATGTCCAATCATATACAACTATAGCTGGTATTCTGAGCAACAGATTTGATGATAAAAATCATGTATCAACCATTGTTAATCAGCTATTGTTTTGAAAATCTGTAACGTGTTATATGTTACCTTGTTTTTGTCTTTGTTTCCGATTTTTTGTTCCTGCTTCTGTTTTTACTTTTAAAAATAAAGTAAAATTAGATTTTAAAAAAATTCAAATTTATTAAAATATGGTATCTAATAATCTTTAAAAAATTGGGAGCAAGAGAAAGATGTCCACTCTCAGTATTGTTTTTCAGAATTGTCTAAAAGTCCTCAACAAAGATGTGATTAGAAAGAGAAAAACTGAAACTGATATTCTGAAAATATCATATACATAAAATACCCTAAAGAAGTCTGGGCATGGTGGCACACACCTGTCCTTTCAACATTTGGGAGGCTGAGGCAGGAGGCTTGCCATACATTTGAGGCCAGACTGGTTACATAGTGAGTTCAAGGCCAGCCTTGATTAAATAGTGAGACCCTCAAAAAAAAAAAAACCCTAGAGGTTCGTTTCTATGTAAATCAAGTATTTTATAAGGATGTATTATTATATCTTTAGTTTTGAAGTAAGTTTTCATGATTAACAACTTTTCATAACTTCACATAGGGAGTCAGGAAAAGCTTTTCGATTGATCACCATTTACAAATACAGATTTCCTGTTGGGTCTGTAATCTTAGCACCTGAGAAGATAAAGCAAGAAGGTCAAGAACAAAAGACTAGCCTAGATAATATAAAGAGGACTTATTTAAAATAAAATTTTTTCATTGAATAATTAAAAATATCAAATACAAGTTTTTAAAATTCTTAAATTTTAGGGCCATATTCCCTCAAAAAAAAAAAAAAAAAAAATGGTTCCATCATCGACTTCAATTGGTTTCTTATTTTTTAATCCAACAGGGACATCCGTCACTTGTGAAAGCCCTGTCCTGCCTTTATGAAAAATTTTTTCCCAATCAAATCGACCCAAATAAAGAAATCCTTGTGACAGTAGGAGCATATGGATCTCTCTTTAATGCCATTCAAGGGCTAGTTGATGAAGGAGATGAGGTAAGTACGTTAACATTATCATGATGTCTGTGCTGATCGCTGTCCTTCATCCCGTCTTTGTATCTTCTACTTGTTTTGCATAATTTTTATTTCCAAGTGTCATAGAATCCTGAGGCATGTACTATGAGGTTAGCAAATCTTAAATGTACAGCTGGATAAAACGCCGTGTACCTATAACCCAGATAAAGATGCTGTGCTTTGCCAGTATCCGGGAGGCTGCGCTGCCTTCCCCGCTTACTCTGTTCTCCAGCGCAGGCTGTCTGCCGTCACCGCAGGTTGGTTCTCACCGCCCTTTTATTTGATGCAAATCCAAACCTACCGCGCACGCTCTTGGGCCCGGCTTCTGTCATTTCTCCTTATACAGCCTATTAGCGGCACCCATTCCACTGCATTAATTCGTTTTTATTTTTATAGCCTACTGAGATAAGAGTAGGTGGAAGTAGGCTAGCAAGGCTGAGGGAACAGAACCCTTTGTCTTCGTTGCTACAATAACCTTTAGCCTGAGCTCGCGCACTGCGTCTTTTCATGCCAGTGTCCCATGAGCGTGCGGATGTACCCGGAAGGCCGGGCCATTTCTGTCACGCAGCACGGTGATGCAGGCCCAGCGCCGGCACTCACCTCACTCATTCACCCTAGTAGTGCCCTAGCACTTTTTTTTTTTTTTTTTTTTTT